GAACATTTTTTTGCTGAATAGCAAAATTATATTCAAAGTTACAAATGTATCTTGTGCAGACTTTCAGATCCTCCTTTTTCCGGTCCTTCAGAAAGCTACATACAAAAGCTCCATTCTGAGGACCTCTTCTCAAGTCAATATTTGGTCTCCAGTTGAAGTGAAGGCCCACTCCTGGTCAGGCAGAATGGGCAGTGGTCAGGTGCTGGGCATTAGGCACCTTTGTTTGATGTTTTTACTGTAGCTGCTTGAGCCTCAAGAGCTGATACCGGGAGCATTTGGCGACCAATTATTTCAGAATTCTGGTGAATCTGGCCAGAATTTGATTTGAATTACATGTATGTAGGTGTAGGGACCAGTTTTAGCCTTGATGTTTTACTGTAGCTGCTTGAGCCTCAAGAGCAGATACTGGGACCATTTGGCAACCAATTATTTCAGAATTCTGGTGAATCTGGCCAGAATTTGATTTGAATTACATGTATGTAGGTGTAGGGACCAGTTTTAGCCTTGATGTTGTACTGTAGCTGCTTGAGCCTCAAGAACAGATACCGGGAGCATTTGTCAACCAATTATTTCAGAATTCAGCTGAATCTGGCCAGAATTTCGTCAGAATTATGTGGGGATGGGGACCGGTTTAGCTTGATTAGGTGCAGAGGAACAGGTACAGGTCTGAAAATGAACCTGGACCCGATTAGGCCTAGGAAAAAAATATTGTGTTTCCTGTTTCCCGACTGACCCTAGAAAAAACTGCAGACCCTACCTTTTTTTTGTGTGTGGACCCCTGCGAGGGATATTCGGAGCTGATCAACCTTTTCTAGCTCCATGATCTAACACCTGAGTGATGAAACATTGTACAATCAGTTTTCCAATAGAAATAGAGAAATAGAGGATAGAAAAAATGGTCGGTCAGAAAACTTTACAATTTTCCATATCAACATCTGCTTGGAGATCAATTCCATTATTGGTAGCAATCAATTGTCTGGACCCTTTCCCCAGTGACACACTAGTCCTGCCGCCACCCCAACGGTAATAAAATCGTTATATCTACGATCGACGCACAGCAAACACTGAGAATTAATTAACGAGCCCAAATGGTGATTGAAAGAACATTCGGTGAATGGTCTGCTCTGCACCTGTCACAGGGACATGTGGTTATCATGTCAAGCATATTGAATTATTGAATAGATGTTACATTTTCATCATGATTTGATATTATAAGCAGCTGGTTTTATTTACAGAAATGAATTGGCGGCCTCTATTGAAGGTAAATTGCTGTCTACAAATGGGTCACGAGCATGTTAATATGATTAGTGGCCTTTGCAATTGTTATCAGTGAGTTTGAACAGAGGGGTCGAGTTTTAGAGTAGTCAAAGTGTTTTTAAATCCATTCAGCAGCATTCTGTGGTTGAAATGGGTGTGGTTAGGGAGTAAATGATGATCTAGGAATGTGGTAATGACACTAGAAGGCTTCATTTTTTTGCCTAACTGTGCAATTTTTTATGAATCTGTTAATGTGTTATGAAAATTGATGTTTTTCCTGGCATTTTTGGTGACATTTTTGCAAGTAACATGTTTTCTGTTAATTGTTCTTGTAAATTTTTTCCAGCAGTCTTTTGGTGAAAGATTATTTAAGTTCTTGTTCTAAATATTATGAATGAAGAAAAGGTTTGCTGGTCCTGAAGCTGCAGTACTTCCTATTGTAGTTAGGGGGAGCTGCAATATTACTGGTACTACTGGTATTACTTGTGGGGTGTTCTAAACCCAAAGAGACCATTTATCTGTAAAATAGAAGTAAGCCTGTGAAAAAAGAGCTTCATGTTTCGTGTTTAAGTTTGTTTGGATCCAAGATAAGTGTAGTCAATATTTCTATGGTCGTCAATGTACTTATATTAAGTTGCAACAAATTATGAAAAGTGTAATTACGGTACATTGTATTTACGTGAAAGGTTTAATGGATAAATGATCTATTTTCGTACTCCTGCCCAATCCTCGCTCATGTAATTTATCTCAAATGGCTTTCCTCAATCCTCGCCTTCAACAGTTATCTCCTTTTTTATCATCCACCAGTTTTAATTAACCCATTAATCTCACCCAACAAGACCTCTTGAGAGCCATTGAGCCTCCAGTGTTGATGTAGGTGCTGTACTAGACTGATATGCTATCAGCTAGACTAGGCTGTTATGTTTCCCTTTGCTATACCGTCATTTGCATATAGATATCCTTGCGCTGATGAAAAACTGTACACCAGAATTGATAATACTGTATCCAATATAACATCTGTGTCCATAATATCACCAGGGTCCATAATATCCCCACCTTGAGAAAAAGTGTGCTTAAAGATATTTTTACTGCAACATACTTTTGGTATGCACTTCTGCACACCTCAAATGTACATACCTAGGGTATGTTGCAGTAAAAATATCTTTAAGCACACTATTTATCAAGGTGGCGATATTATGGACCCTGGTGATATTATGGACACAGATGTTAGAGGATAATAAGGATATTATTTGACTTATCATATATATGAAGTACTTCACACCTGTATACGTTTTAAGCTTCTTAATTTGCAAATTTGTCTGTGAGTGTTTTTTTTTGTTTAAACTTAATGTATTAGTTTCCAATGTCCATGTTATTTGTGTGGCACCAGGGACTGTGAAATCTCCAATGCAGCATGCATGCATAATGAGCTGTAGCCAGTGCCACCTTCTGTGCTCTGATCCATTGATCTCATGTTTGCCTAGCAAGTCAAGCGTGCTTGTCGCTCTCTCTCTCTGCCACTCTGAGATTTCCCGCTCTTCTCGCTAGTCTGTGCTGGGATTTTTAACCCTCTGCCTGCTGCGTAAGAAAGATTTGGTGGCCAAGCAGGTGTACTTCAGTGGGCTGAAGGTTTAGAGAGCATACTGTACGTACTAGACCCCCTTCTGGAGGTTTCTGTTTCGGAGGAAGAAAGGTAACCACCATTTTACAGGTTTAGGTTGGTGAGAGAAGTCCAGTACCGCAGCTGTCAAGCTCTATTTGTTGTGGAAATGTACGTTAATGAACACGACTGCAGTATATGTATATCATATATAGCAATGTCTGTGTGATTGCCTTCATTTTGTAATGTCTACTGTTGTCAAAATGATATTATTAGGATATTATTGATATCTGTCCATATCTTTAGGCCTACAACCACAAGCATGCTTAGATTTGGGAATTCTACTTCCCCCAGTCTATAGATATTTTGTCAATGCAGCTTTACAAGTAGAGGCTCAGGAAGTAACATAACATGTCGTTCTGGTATTAATTTTTGCCATGTAACAATAAGTTTTTATTCTAAAAGGGTGTTCTGCCAAATAGAATGCAAAATGGTTCATTATGCTTGGTACTGGTACCCTTTAGCAATTTTGAGAAATTAAACCTGATACAAAATATGTACGTTTGTGTCCAGGCTGGACTTTTAAATCAATCTTTAAAGCGCTCACTATATTATGCATGTTAGTCATGGTATTAGATGAAATATCATGTTATCAGCCACAAATCAAATGTCTACAGCTCTATTTGTAGGGTAAATAGTTACTATGCATTATATTTACTGTGTTCCAAATTGCTAGCAAAACCCTGGGCTTGCTTTTTTTTTACAGCTAAGGGTCCCCTTTGATGTTGCATAACCATCTATTACCTATGGGGAGTGTGTATGCCATTAGCACCCAGAACTAGGGACTAATCATATGTTAGGGTTTTATAGGAATTGAGTGTATTCTTCATACCAGTCATACTCGATGAGAAAGTGTTAGGTGCAGGATAAGGTAGATTCATGTGTTTTGTTGGTGTTAGCATGGTAATTTCACAGTCACGTGGTAAGAAACCATACAGGGATGTGTATTCTGTGTTTGTGTGAAAACAGTTAATTAAACACATTGATAGTTGGCTAGGAATTGTAGGGGATATTGAAATGGAAATCACTTGTGTTTCTCCCTTTTATGTTTTTCCCTCAGGACCTGAGTGTTCTAGCTGAAGCCAGCCTGAATTTTTTTTCAGTCATCTCAATTTTGTTTGACGTAAATCATGTCGAGTGCCATTTAGGCACAACAATATTAGGGGGTATGCTTGCTTCTCCAGGAAAATTGTAGAAATCTTGACCCTCTGAAAAGCTATTCCCTGCATTTTTTGTGGCAAATAAGCTCAGTTTAATCTATAGATTAATGAAAATTCTCCCTCTATATGTTTACATGCTGATTTTTGTCCATAAAAGATAACGGATTGGGCGAAATTTTGGCCGTTATCACGGTTATGACCCAAAATTCCATCAAATGACAGAAAGACGGACACTGGCTACAACTGACAGTACTAGTACTCAGGACCTTCAAGCAATTAGAGTTGGGTTGTTTGTCTTGCCTTTCTTTCTCTTTTTCTGAGAGATCCTTTCCCTGATCCTGATGCCATTACGCCTGCATGCCCCAAACATTTATCGTTGGAAGATTGAGACTTCAGATGCACTTGTCGACGATTTCCAACCTTGATGTTGATTGGCTAGAGTAAGGGAACCCTCAGAGTCGGAAAGGCTATATCAGCAGGACTCGAAATCCTTTTTTTCTGCATACCTGAACTGGTGTGGGTAATTTTCTGTAGGTATGCAGAATAAAAAGGATTTTAACTGGGGACTGTCACTCAGAAGTTAGGAAGTATGGATCTCAATAAGATTAGTGTTAAACCATTGCCATTATTTCTTTTTCACTTCATAGTTGGTAACAGTCAATGCAACAAATAAAAATCTGCATATACCTACATGTACTGTATAAACCTGATACATTGACCAGTGCAGGTTAAGTGCAGGTAGACACCAGAAATACCTGCACAGCTTCAATTTTACCTGCACCAACCTGCAATATTAATTATTATGCACCCAGTATTTCGAGCCCTGATGTTGAGTTGGCTAGACTAGGATCATGAAACCTTTTGAAGACGTTGCAGGTAACGGCAGAATGCTAATGGTTTTTCTCCTCCGTTCTGTTCCTCAGGACCAACAGATCATCCACTCCAACCTCCATGGCATCGAGGCCTTCGCTTCGCTACGAGAGTCGGCCCTGAGGTAAGCACACAAAACGCTCCTGACATTCGCTGTTCCTAAAGACATCCAGGACGATTTCATGCAGCAAAATGAGAAATATCCAAGGCATGAGGAAATCTGTCTGACATTTACTGCCATTTCTTAGCACATTTTCTTCATTGTGTCATACTTGAAGCGTTTGAAGCAGCCCCAAAACAAGCTACGTGAGGAGTCTCTTCATTTTCTGTGAACCATACGAAACAAGCAGTTGTTTTCCATCAGTGACATCACATTTTTGCCTCACAGATGTCAGTATACTAGTATGATTATATACACATGTAGCAGGGTTGATTCAACTTGAATGACAAAGAATGACAAGAAAATTAACTTTGAAAATACACTTTTGCCACCCTGAAATTGCATTGGATGCCTTTAAAAGCTTACGTAAGCCACAGGCTCTTAATTTAGGCTGGACCAGAAAAGGTTGTGAATGGATAGAGTGACTGCATGTAGAGGATATGCTATAATGCACACCAAATGCAAGAAATGCAATCATCTGGACCAGTGAATAGGAAGATTGAGAATTTCTGCACAGCTCCAATTTAAGCAGCATGCATGCAAGGTCTGGTTTCAGCTTTTATGATTCAGGGCTGGAAAAAAAACAAAACAAGAGTGCCAGGATCTAATACCTTTGAAACAACGCCCTGCAGTTCCAGAACAAGCTTCTAGGAGGTCCAAACTTATGTGACTTCTTCCAGAGCAAAAAAACAAACAAACCTATGAACCGTTGAAAATTTGTCTATCATGTCTAGATCACGAGATATCGAAAACGGAAGGTCTGCTGAAGAACCATAACAAGATATGATACATGTACGATGTATATTTTGTCTATCCCCAGTTTGCATATGTTGGAGTTGTAACCCAAAACATGTTTGAAGAAAACGTGGCAGGGGGTTGTGCATTCCAGGATTCATTGAAGTGAAATTGCTGAAATTAGCAAGGAGTGCAAGAGAACATTTACCAATTTGTTTCCTCAAGGTCTAAGAATTATCAATGGGAAGAAATGTCAAGTTGAATTTCATGCTTCTTAGAGGTCTGCCTTCTTGGATTTATTCAAGGTCAAACTTGACAAAAGGTTGTGACCTTGGCTTTCCATACTGAAAGGAAAATCTCCAAATGGGATCACAGTTTACATCTTTGTAGTGCATTCCGTACATTTATGTGGAATCAACATCTTCAAATACCTCTCAAAACTGAGGACACTACAAATTCGTGTAGAAAAGCAAAATGAATGTATCTTTTTGAGAAATCAAATGAAAACATTGAATTTTTACATTCAATTGGATTTGTAGAGAAGGAAACATATTTCACATCAGTAAAGGTTTCAGACCTTTTCTCCATAAGGAATATGCTAGTCTTTAGAGGTTTGTTTCTGATTCCCTTTGGCGATTTCCTTTCAGCATTTGCCTGACCTCAGGTCATGCACAAGTTCATGCCTGCCAAATGTTGGAAGGAGGTACATGTATTTCTGTTATTATCTGAAGCTGATGCCCACAAAACAGTGGATATCGATTTGGAAAACCTTTATTGACTAGTCATCATCTTCATACTGATTAGATAATTGTCTAAAATTCCTTAATCATCTTCTATTTCTTGACGAGCATGTTGCCCACCGTACATGTCCTAAATAAAAGTAAAAATCAATCGTTGAAGAGGTTCATCAGTCACGTAAAATTAACAGTTAGTAGAATATTCCTCAATCAGTGACTGTTTTTGAAAGGTAGAAACACGTACCTCCAGATTTCAAAACCCCAAAAATCAATCAACTTCATTTCGACTCTCTTGGTTCCATACTGTGAGATATTATTAATATATCTACCCCGTCCCTAATGAGAGCTCTATCTTTTTCCAGCTCTGTCAAATCTGGATGATTTCCAACAAGAAGCAATTTAATCAAAACCCGCACATCCCTCACGAGATACATTTTCATCATAGGATCTTCTGCATACGGCCCACCTGGGCTGTTGTGAAATATGCAGCCGCCCTTTTGCTCGTATTTCATCATAGGTAGAGTTGGGATTTGCGATAGTTAATATTCTACACCCCTGCCAGGTTTAGATTGTTTCCATTGACATGTTAGATGATATATGTGGTGTCAGGAGGTAGAGGTAGTGGGACCGCCTACTGTGTAACATGGTGGCTTTTTTTGGCTCTTGCTAAATTGATTGAACAAAATCTTAAATGATGGGTAGTTGGGGGGTGGGGCATGTACAGGTAGGTCTAATCATTGAAAATCAGTGAGGAGTATGAATTGAAATCAGATATAAATTTGTGAAAGTCCACCCCTTTTTTTACCTTGGTGCCTCAAGTTATGTTAGCATTAGGACGATGTAAAAGGTCTATTCTCATATCTTTACAAAGTAGAAAAGAAATGCAAAATGCACACAGTAAATGTCAGCACAGGAAATGCGAAATCCTTTATGATTTGGGACCCTTTTTGAGACATATCATAAAGGTCACAGAGCTGCATTTACGTCAATGCAGTAATGGGCATTCCCACCAGACATCCTTTTGAAAGATTTGATGCAATGTAGACATTCTGACAAAATATATTCAACATTGAATGAATGAATCTGGAGACAGTCAAAGAAAAAAAAGACATCCAATTCCAAAGGTCCTAACGATAAATAAGAATAAGAAATTACATATGGCACGGAGCAAAAACGACCAAGTATGCTTTTTATAATAATTTCCTTAAAAAATATAATTGTCAAGTATTAGGTGAAGTAAAACGTTTCGCAAAGGCCTTGTGGCATAAAAAGGCATGCAGACACACTAATGTCCCCACCATTATAAAAGCCCTCTCCCTGCCCTCTCCACATGGGTTCCCTGATACTATCATCCACTTACTTCAGACAAAATTGTCTGCTGCTGCCAATTGTTGTTGTACAAAATTCCTTTACATCTCTCTCTCCATTACCAACATTACTAGGGGCTGTCATTCATTGCTTTGGTGTAACTGCTGAGTCAATATGCCTGGGTCTAATTAGCACAGTAATTAGTTTGGTATACTGCCATTAATTAGGATTAATGTGTTATGCTATCAAATTACCACACTTTTTTTCTTCCTTTCCCTAACCCATGACTGATGTTATTTTTGCAGCAGTAATTTTCAAATTTCAAAGAAGTCAAAAAAATCGTGATGTGTATATATATCTGCATTATAGAAATTGTGGAATTTTCAGGGTCTGGTGGCCATTTGACAGCAGTGTGTGATATGTACAGTATACACACAGATTGGAGCTGGCAAAAGATAGCCCCAACTCATCTGCATAACATTATCATTCCACAATACCCTCAGGGGTCAAAGGCCTTCAGTTCCAAGGAATGTGGATGTCTCCATATTTAAAAGGAGGGGTGTTCTTTATACCTCTTTTCTTGTAATGGTCCAGGAAAATTGAGAAGAAATAATTACTTGGTTTCAAGGATTATATTTTGTATTTTTATCACAGTTTGATGTGGATGGTGTGTATGATTTGGGGAAGAAAATTTTATTCACCCCCGTTATGAGAATGAACTTTTCCAATGACATCATGGGCTAACTGCCTGTCCCCATTTCCCCTTGTGTTGCTCACAGGGCCATGTGTAAAACTGTCCGCTATGAATGGCACGACGCGAACACACTGCTCTATCGGTGAGTACAAACCCTTCTTTAACCTCCTCTGTACATTCTGTAGTCTGTTCATGAGTTAGGGATGTGTTGTGTCGCTTATAGACCTGTCTATGGAGACAGTTGTGTGTTGATATGCACACCGGAAGACACTCCAAAATCACAACAATACTGTCAATTGCTCCATGACGCACAGAAACCTTGTTTTCTTTTGAGATTTTTCACAAACATAAACTCAGTGTGGCACTGTCTTTTTGTCCACTTTGTTACTCTAGAATCTGTTGTTGTTTACCCTTGTATAGTCAAAGTGGACAGTCACAAATTATGGGCCCTGTGATGTCAGTGTGAATATGTATTGATATGCTAATCATGGGGAAAGGTTTACAAACCAGAGTGGTTACGCTATACACAATTAGCACTGATTTTTCTTCGTATACCTCCGCTGTACCATTGGGAAAGATGCCTAATTTCTCAAAACTGAGTGGGTGGAGAAGCTGGTAATCAAATAAGCTCCCGTGCCTGGAAAATGTCCCGACCAAGATAGATCTGTGGGTGATATCTTACCCAGATAATTGTACATCCTGCATGCTTGTCTACTGGAGACAAATGTGGTAAAGTCATTTTCTAGTGTCCCCAGCTGAGGCCAAGCACTGGGGAGGGCATCCATGTGTTTTGGTGATAGGAAGTCTGGGATTTTGGACAGGTTTCGGTTTATTTTCTTTTTTACGGACCATTTGGAATGGGTCAAGTTAGACATTTCTGTGATTGGTGAAAAACTGTACAGTGGGATCCATTTACTGTACTAGTAGGTGTAATTTTGGTTGAGATAGGAAGTTTGGGATTTTAGACAAAGTTTTCGTTTGATTCCTTTTTTACGGACAATTTGTAAGGATTTCGGGTCAAGATTATGAAGATAGAGATTTCTGTGATTGGTGAAAAACAGTTAACTGTACACTTGGATCTATATCTATATACGTAGGTATAACTATAATTGTATTGGAGGCCCCTCTCTGTCTGCCATCTTGAGATTTATCTCTCAATTGTGTGCAGAACTCGGGCGTTCAAAAGGGGTCGTGGAATCTGTCTGTTTGGATTCTAAAGGGGACGGTACCGGAGCGAAAAGGTCAACAGCTCGCCTTGTTGGAACAGGTTCTGGACACTTTCCCATGTCCTTTTGTCGGCCCGGGTTTTCTGGACTGCCACCAGAGACAACTGGTTCAGATTGGAAGTGTCGGTTCAAGAGACCAGAGCACAGATTTATACCATAAAAGACCATTTTACATACTCCTTTTCTTTCCAAACCACCTAAAACCTTCCGTAGATTACAAAATCTTTGCTGCAAAACGAAGTAGTCATGTAATTAGGACCTTTTAAAAGGTGTGTATTACCATGTGTATTGTACGGTGGGAAACTAGTGTAGTATAGACTGTCACCTCGACTCACCTGTCTAGTACATGTAAATTTAACCATGATATCTTCTCAATAGGATATCAGTGTTCTACATGTACTACTACAGGAAGTTCTAGTCAGTGGTCTATTTCAGTATTTGACAGAATTTTGCTGCTCATGATGGACAAAATTTGCCCAATCTGTCATCTTGGACAGGAAAAATTGGTGTGTAAAAATGACATTCTACTCAGCTTAGTCTAACAACAAAATTAGCCCCTCAAAATGCAGGAGAAAACAGAACTGAGCTCAGATAACGAAAAAAATTGAGGCTGGCAAGAACACGGCACGAAATGTCTGCTGTATTGTGATTTATATAATGCCTGTCCAAGATTGGATGCTGTATACCTTAGACCCACTGGTGGACAAATCCCAGGCCTGCCCGGAAAAATGCCTTGTTATATTTTCGCAAGTTGACCCGTCAGTACGGCATTCCAGTACTCTGCTCCGAGTGGCACGCTTTTCTCTGGTGCCACTTTCACAGCTTGTCAAGACAAAACTAATGAGTGTCCCACTACAAACCATTATCTATCATGGAGAGGGTGGTGTTTGAAACCTGAGTGTTCTACTTTTTGTCAGCGTCTGTCTTTCTGTCATTTGACAGTGTTTTGCTGCTCATGCCACAGACAATTTTGTCCAATCTGTCATCTCTGATGGACAAAAATCAGCGTCTACCAACAACATTTGGCCCTCAAATTACAGAAAATATCCTTTCAAAATTTTCAATTTTCCTGGTGAGCATGCCTCCCTACCTAGTATTGTCAGGCCTTTGGCGTACTATGACATGGTGTTATGTCACACAAAACTGAGATGACAGAAAAAAATTTCAGGCTGGCAGGAATGTAACTGTTTGAATAAGCCCTCAAGATTGCTTTATATATCCTGACGGCTTCCCTGGTTTTGACAGGAACATAGACATGTGGTCATCAAGGAAGTGACTGACAGCTGAGAACTCAACACATCCTTCCTGACCCCAGAAGCCTTGTCGTTATTAAAACTTGTGATCATAACAAATCCCCGCCTTTCTTTTAATGGTCCAGCCCACCCTGGGGCCCTGATTTGCGACCATCTTGTGTGGCGAGGGATTCTTTCTCCTGTTGTCCTTTCACAGCTGCCGATGTTGAGTTACACCTTGGTGCTGGCTTTTGAAGATCAGCGCTGACTTCCTCTGTGGTCTAACCTCTCCATGTGGCTCCGGAACGGAGCATTTTTTAAAGACAAGATCACGGTCAAGTCTGGCTGGTTTTGGTGTTGTTTTTTTTTTTCAAAGACACCCAAAGTGATTTCACTCACTGGATTTTCGAAGTCAACTTTCTTTTTATTGAATTATTTCATGTCGTAACTTGTATCTATTTCCATAACACACTGATATCTGTGAGGCAAAAATGCGATGTCAATATCAGACAGATTTTGTCATCCAGTTAATTTTTTTGTTTTGCCGCTCTGCCTTCAAATCAATTCGTTCAAAAATGACTGATTAAGTCATTCTTATACCGACAGTGCTGTTGATAACTGTATGTAAAATTTGTAGTGGTAAACGTTATCACTACACAGTTTACAGTTTACATAAGGATTTGAGAAATATTCAGGTCGTAATGCACTGAATATCTGAGGGTTTAGAAGGGCCAACTGGGACATAGTTGATAGGAACTGTACACTCACTGAGCACCAGTGTCAAGCAAAACTAACCAGGTTACCTATATCTGAGAATGGCATTCAGCATATCCAAATGGCTGACTCTTTAGCTAGGCGTTTGCCTGTGTACCTGATATGTAACATTACTCTTTTTAATTCAAATTGCCTATTGGTGAAATTTGTAAGCTCTTGCCTTTTAGACCAAATGCCACTTTAATTAGTTCAATAACATGCAACGGCATTCTGCTTAGCGATATTAATGTTCTCTTCTACAGATAACAGAAATTCATATTTATGGAATTATGCATTAATGAATGACTCCATTATCACAAGTAAATATGCGAATATGGACAAGCCAAATACGTCTGTATAATGCCTGTCTCCTGAAAAAGAGCATTATGTTATGATTTTCAATCAGTCTTTATAGCTGATCAGATAAAAAGATCAATTTCTATATCTGTTAAAACGTCTCTTGATCTTATCAATATTAAATGCCTGTAGAGTAAAAGGATAGAGAAAAATGATATCATCTCATGCATCAAATATTCTCACAGGACAGATTTATTCTGAGCTTTACCTACAGATTTATCCAAATAGACCCCTTGAGATATGGGATGTACCATTGTATGTGTGTATGGGGGTGTTAATGTCTTGATGTACAAATGTTTATAATAGATCTTGGTATTACAATAATCTCCCCAGTTTACTTGTATATATAGTGGGTTCATTAAAATTCAACTTCAAAGGTTTGAACTGGAACCTACTAGAAGAAAATGACCTTTTTGTATGATTAGTTGGTACCTTAGACATATTAGAGCATGTTATATTCATGTTGGAGCAAACATCATGGCCATACAAGTAGAATTAATTGAATATTGGCATTGAGTCACAGTGCACAGTGCATATTATGCACCTTGGTACAGGTAAAATTGGGGCCGTGCAATTATTTCTGATGTCTACCTGTACCTTACCTGCACTGATCCATGAATTATGTGTATATACAAATGTAGATGTATGAGGAGTGCATGTACATGTATGTAGAAAAAATTGATCCCTGGCATGCAAGTACATGTACAGTGTACTTGCATACTGTACACTGTAGGATTAATTGATAAATGACATGTAGTCAGAAAGACAAGAAGCAGAAAGGTAGGATTAACTGGATTCAATTTGAACAGAGATAAAGCAGAGTACTTATCAATTCTCGAGACCTCCAGTCACCATATCTGGAAAACCTCTTGGAGTCTCCAGTATTAATGGTTCAGCAAAATCCACCAAACTTCATCACTACCACATGAGACCGACAACAGGTTTCCCTCATGTAAATAGAAACAGGCTGAAGTGGCTTTGTAAAAATAACTTCAGTCATGTGTTATTCCTGCCTGTGTCATGTGTAGGAATAGGTTGGCAACTGGCTTTGATCTGGTCAAGTTACACTGAATACACTGAATTTGTAGCACTCACAGCTTTGTGCTTGTGTCTTGCTCTCCAAAATATGATATAGATTTACAGTGTAGTACCTTTTACTACTGTTATACTATAACCAGGTCCAGGTTCAAGTCCAGGTATGGTTTTCTTGACTTGGATCTGATCAAGCTGAACCTGTTCCCACTCCTAAACTGAACACTCCCTTTCTTTTCATCAGTGTTACAGCCAGTCAGACCCAGTGAAACAGTTGTCAGGTCACAGGAGATTTGCCTGCAACCATAAATGAGACGTAGAGAATCAATTCGCCCAGGTGTTGAGTAAGAAACATGTCGGCATGACAGCCAAAATCCTAGAACAACATCACCGTGACAAATTGAGCGCTGTCACCTGTTAGGACCTGCCAGGAGAGTTGGCAGTTTGGGGCAATAACAGACAGATAAGGAACCACAAGTGGAGGAGGCATTGTCACTTCTCATAAGGTGGCTGTCACCTGTCATAGCAAGGGTACTGGAATATACATCACAGTAGCAACAGTCATGATCTCTATATAGGGGTGAATTCTACATGAAGGGGCAAACCGTGAATGATGCCACTACTTTCAACAATGAAACTCTAGTAATGGAGCTGCGCACAAGTGTTTAAAGTCAGTATCATTGGAATATTGCTCTAGCCTACAAGTAGAAAATAATATCATTTTTAATTGGCGCTAGTTGTAACTTGACTATTTCTTGGGTTGCCAATACTTGCCATGCCCCTTTCAATAATGATGACGTCATTGATAGCAAAAATGTAAAAAAAAAAAAAAAATTTCAACTTCAAGTGTGGTTTTAATTTTTCTCCTATCCACGTGAATCCAGACAATTTTATCCATAGTGGGAACAGAACTTTAGACAAGATATATGCTAGCATTACAGTCTGGTGCCAGCATAGCATGGGTGGAACTTCAAGTCACAACATAGACCCATAAAGTAAAGTTATAGTAATTTAAAACATCTTTTAAGTTAAATAACTCTTTCCAGTGTCTAAATCCTGCCGTAAGATTTGAATGACTTACCGTCTGTGAAAATCTTTTAGCAAAAAATACAGATGAATGAAAAGGTCGTGTGAAAGTTCAGATCATGGCCTGAATTCTTTGTATGGTGTGTTTTAGAAACCCCCCACACACCCTTTCAGGGCTCTTCCCAAGCAAAATTATGAAGCAAGGGTGCTCCCCCTTTCCCCAAAATCTTAGCACCCCTCCCAAAATATTCAAATGTAGCGTTTTCCCTCAGTATTTTCATGAAAATTTCCTGATTTTTCATCAACAGATTAAGAATTTCTGTATGGTGTTCTAGAAACCCCCTATACGTCCTCTGCAAAGGCCACGAATGGGAGCAGCTTTGCCCAGATGTGTGTCCTGAACTGCAAGGTCATGCCAGATTGCCTGTCTGAAGTGATTTGCCTGCTGCTATTCTGGTGGCGGTGGGTTCATTAGGGGCTGCACTGAATGAATGAATGTCTGCATTATGGGGGAATGATGAATCTGCTGTATTCAGCCAGAAGCTTTAATCAGATTCACAGCAGCAGTTACTCGGGTTAGGATTCAGGAACATGAAGGTTGATGTCTCATTGTTACCTTACACAGCCTTACAGGCTGCTTGATTGATTGATGAACCTAAGATTTGCCCTGTGAAGAACTCAGGTTCATTACTGTTAGAAATCCCCATCTGCAGTCTGCTTTTTGGAGATACGTTTTCAATATTGCAAAAGAAAAATTAAGCAACCTGCAATTTTGCTATCTGAAAAAAATCAGGCTAGTAGTAGGGATTCAGTGGTGTTGGCATGAATATTGTGTATTTCTAGAAAGTATTTCCATATTGCAGAACAAAATATTGCAGGTTGAAAAAGTACTTTTACCACTGTAGATATAAGGCCATACTCAGGACTGTCCACATGTATTTTAGCAGATATGTGATATCTATCTAATAATAACAGGTTGAAAGGCACTTTTTCCTCTGCAAAAAATTCTCGGAAAAGCCCTTTCCATAATGTGCTTGAAGCAGCTGCAGCTTGCTGGTTGCAGAACAAGTGCAAGATTATCTGTTTATGTAAGGCACCCTGGCAAGACCAACAATAATATTGACATGTAGATGCATGTTCCCCTTTGTTTGAAGCACACGCCCATGTAGCCCACTGGCCATACTTCCTGTCAATAGACAAGAGGAGTCAAGTATATCGTGATCAGCAGAACTAGTATAGGTATACACACAGGAACTGTCAGCATTCCTGTTTATATTTGAATTACATTTCCTCCCCGTTTCAACAGTCCGAAGGCATACCGTGCCACTTGTTTTTGTTGTACAAATGTAAGTACACAGTACGTAGTAACTTTTGTTTAATGCAAGTACATGACGTATGTAGGTATACCTATTCTTGCTGTTGCCGAGTGTAAGTCTATGGAGGAACTCTTATTTTGAGTTACAGGCAGGCAGTTGCCTTTTAGGCAGGATGTTGGAAAACTCCATTGTAGAATTCCAGTCATCACTCTTTACGATGTCTCTAGGATATGGCCTTTTGGTATGTATCATACAACGTGTTATGAAAGGTGGTAATCCACATAATGCCAGCCGCATGCCCAGACCGCCGGTTGCCCAGAGGCAAGTTCATTTGTTGTAACATGGCCACGCGTCATGTCACACCACAGTTCAGCGCGGCTGGCATGCACAAGCCTGGAGCTGATTCACTTTACAACCTCAACCGTGAAGAAGGCAACTTGTGCCATTGTTGGATTCATAATGTCACTGTCGTTCCGTGTTACTGGATGCATCACTGATTTTTAACTACTGTCTGTACTAGCTACTCTGACATGAGGATGGGACTAGGTAAAGGTAAAGTTAACTAGCTGCTAGAGCCTTCTGTGTGAAAACTTGTCACAATGGAATCATGGATACGAGAAATCCTGACATGTTTCCTGAAACTTCAGGTGTGTAAGTGAGTTTGTTCTTGGACTTGGTTGTGTTACTGGATGCATCACTGATTTTTAACTACTAACTACTACTACTAGAGCCTTCTGTGTGAAAACTTGTCAATGGAATCATGGATGCAAGAAATCCTGACATGTTTCGTCTTGAAACTTCAGGTGTGTATGTGAGTTTGTCGTTGTACTTGGTTGTGTACAGTAAACATGGGCCTTAGAAAGGACTTCAAAATTCGTAGAGTTCGCTGTTACTCATGTCAATATTTGGATTCTTGCAAGTATGCAGTATGGTAGATTTGTAGGAAGGGAGGGGAGATTTTGTAACCGCAGATTGATAAGAATGATAAGAAAGTCCACCCACACAGTTGATGCAAGTCACTCTGATTTCTTGTCACTTTTCATAAGTTTTGTCAAAGAATTTTTTTCTTGCTTTCCTCTGTTGTACTTGTAGCCCAACTAAATCCGGCTCCATTGACAGCAAGAGATTATGTCACACACGCCAACTCTTTTAGTCAGGATCCCTGGATTTGTGTACCAAGCTTTGACGTACATCCTCCTACATAAATGTTTGGCACTGTTGTCTGAATTCCTGTGGTAGACAGTATGGCAAGTTTACTGTTGTGCTCTTGACTGCAGTCAACCTCGAAGGATGTAACCCATCCAGCAATTTATTGATTGTAATAACCTGTTCTGTCCTTCATGAAGGGAAATGTTGGACTGCTGAAGGGTTTATTCCTGACAGTGACAGCGTGGACATTTCCCAATGACCCTCAGGACAGGACGAGCAGGAAATACTTCAGACTACTTTAGTTCCTTTTATTATCCGGCAGCAAAAGTTCACAGAAAAATTGAGGTGTTCATGGAACTGTATGTTCACGGTGGTGGCAGGTGCAGCAAAAGTTGGCGAATTATTTGTAAGCGTAACGTTGTTATTTTGATAAATTTGCAGTACAGAACTGTGAGAAAGAACACATGAAAAATCAGGAAGTACTGAATTTAGGTATGAGAGTAACAGTATTTTATAAAATTTATATCAAATTGATGAATTACTGAGAAATTTTTTATGCGTATTAATAAGGACCACGAGAAACGCTATTTTTTTCTTTCTCATCGAACAAGTTACCAGATAATAGGGTGTCTATCACCCGCTAGGCTGACTTGTTGAGCTGAGTTTTCTCCATGGAAGTGATAATTCACCTGACAATGGGTGTAGAATGGGGGAGGAGTTCGGGAAATTTGCAAAGAAGATTAACATGTCCTTGATAAGTACCTTATCTGTACCTTATCTGTGTTATTTTAATGCCGAAACTTGTGATTTTTCACATGGATACTATGAGAATTAGGGGTGGCCCAGAATTCCTTGTGGCCTTTGCAGGTGAAACTTGCATTTAGGGCTTCACTTATGCAGTAGTACACATGTGCTTGGGAACTCTCTTGTGCTTTTTGTTTTGCTTTCAGGTATTTTGGAAGAAAATGTACAGAGTTACATGTACCATGCCCAGATTTCTGTCACAAAGTTTCTGTGCAGTTAAAGTTTTGTTCTATAGCCTAGGGGAAGGTATTTTGGATGGGAAATGCTTTAATATCATATTATCTCTGTAACCTTGCATGTATGGGTTAGTTGAGAAAGTCTAACCGGTACATATACTCTGGCTCGATTTAGTAATGACTAAGGTAAATCTATCTTGGATAACTTTGCTTTGAGGATAGTGGTGTTGGAAAACCTGTCAAATGTGCAGTAGTTGCTTGTTTACCAATATCATTTTCATGGACGTTTTCTTTTGCTAGCATTGATACTTGTACAGTACATTGAAATTGTAAGTATAATGTTGATTTACTTTTCTTGTTTTCTGATTTTTGCAGCCCTGAGGACCTGAGTCTATGTTGGTACGTGCTGTTGTCTGGATCAGTCTTCATCGATGGGTCTATGTTCTTACCTAGAAGCAGGTATGTGTGTTAAAATTACTGTACCTCTGCTGAGGAGGTTGTGTTTCTACTATAGTTTTTTTTGAAGTAAAACTGAAAATGTCTGGAATGTTATGACCGTTAATAGTTGTTGTGTGTGCATCGCATTGTGTACATGTATATGTGTGTGTGTGTGGGTTTGTATGCGCGTGTGTGGCTGTGTGTGTGTGTGTGTGTGTTTGAGTGTGTGTGTGCATGACTATGTATGTGTATGGTAAGACTGTATCTGTGTGTGTGTGTATCTGTCTGTGTGTGTTTATGTATGTGTATGTTTGAGTGCGTTTGCGTTTGAGAATGTGCGTATGTGTGTTTGAGAGTGTGCGTATGTGTGTGCGAATGTGTGTGTGTGTGTTTATGTCTGTGAATTGCAGCCCTGTGTAACAGGTGGCTTGTATATGTGTAAGGATAGTAATTTAGGCTTGTTAAGTTCTCTGGAGGCAAGAATGCAAGGTCGAGGATTACCACATGTGACCTTGAGGACATTCCGGGAACTGTTTGTACCAGCCTCACACTTCCACTGACCCCTGCATGACCTCATTTCCTTGGAGACACCAGCTGATGGGGAGGTGAAAGGTCAAACAGGCCAACCCAAAAGGATCATGGGAGTGGGAGTCAGAAGATTTGTTGTGGGTAGCTTTTTTCTTTGTTTGTTTTCTTCCATTATGTCTTCCTGCCTTTTTTAGATTCTGGTTCTCAGAAGGTCTCTATATATTTTCACCTTCCACAATTACCAGAGTTTGCAGTCTAATTAGAACTTGAAGTTGAGCAGTAGTTTGAAGTGATGAACAATTCAGTTGAAACTCTGTTGAGTCATCGTTATGTAACATTATGTTTGAACCATCTGCCAAGGTAGAAATGTATCCCCATCTGTTGTGATTATTCCCTTGTTACAGGTAAAATGGTTGACTGTAGTGCATGCATGTAACATCTGGGGTTGTTTTCACTCGACTAGTTATAATATACAGTTCCAGAATAAATAGGGAGCTGAGCAGATGTGTGCATTGCCAGAAATAGCATCTTGACAGACTTTTAAATAGTGTATAACCTTATCCTCGGACCTGTTTCAGTACTAATTTGATAACCTTCAAATTGAATAGGAGACAGTGACAGAATGTGCTCTAACTTAGAGTCTGTTTAAGTCATCTATTTAAAATCGTAAGCTGTGACAAATTTACCAAGTGACCTTTTATCTCCCTAAAATAATTACCAGTAGTGCTAGAGCTGGTTGTCAATGAATGAAGTTAAACTGGTTCAGTCCACGTATTGAAGTACATACTAAGTACCTTTGTCACCTGTTGACCTTTGACCTAGTACACACACCTGTTTGGTGACCTGAATGATAATGACTTTGTGATTAACTTATTATTTTTTGTGTTCTGTAATTATGATTTTTAGTGCAGTGTTCTAGCCAGCATCCGTCTTTCTGTCATTTGACGGCATTTTACCTCTTAAGTTATGATGGACAACAATTTTGTGAAATCGATCATCTTTCATTCTTTGACAGACAAAAATTGGGGTATAACATAAAGATATAGAAAGAGATGTTATTAAACTTTTGCGCTCAAAATGCAGGAAATAGAGTTTCAGAGGGTCAAAATCTCAAAATTCCCCCTAACTAAGATTGGCGCCTTTGGTGGTCGGCATGATATTATATCCAACAAAATTGAGATGACAGGAAAAATTTTAAGCTGGCTAGATCTCTGATTTAGTGTGTACTTAATTGCATTTTATTTCATTATAAGTCTAGACCCCTGTTTAATGTCAGCTGTAATGGTTAAATCTTGTAGGGCACTTCACTGAAGAGTCTGTGGTTGCCAGTGTTGTTATAATATGATACATTTTCTAAACACGGAGATAAGATTGTAGCCACACATCTCCAGATGTTTGAAATGGCCTGAAGGTAAACAGGGAACACAGAGAAAGATAACATGGGTGTGTGTTATGGCTTTGTGACACATGTGTGGCATACTCTGTGGTTTATCAGGTATGCAGGAAATCATCCTGGAAATGTGATGATGGCCTATGGGGCCTTGCAGGAATGTACTCATCAGGCATTGCTGAGATTGCCGACGGCTGTGTCACATCCTGGCTGTCATGACTCGGATTTTTCTAAACGGTTTAAAATCGTTGGGAACTTAAGGCTGTTATGTTATCAAGGCCTTAATTTGTAACAGTAAGATACACAGACGAGTCTGTATATGTTGATGTTGATATTCAGGGTTCTCACCAGGATTTTTTTTCACAGCGTTCAGGTACAGAAGGGCAACTTTCATAACTTGCAAGTCGCGCATCGAGTCCCCGAAACATGACCACAGCAGGGGGTCTGGTATTCTTCCAGAAAAAAATTTTAAACTCATAAACCCCTGAGACAATATTTCTGGAATATTGAGGGTCAGATTTTGTGAAGTTAAGGTTTTCCCTTTGCTATAGCTTCGTTGTTAAGTTATATTTTCATTTTTTTGCAAGATTTATGAAGGTTCTCCCCCCCAAAAATCCCATAGGGGTCCAAATCACAGCTCAGGGGGTTCAAATCATAGCATAGGGGGCTCAAATAGCCTAGTGAGAACTATGATATTGCTTGATCAATCATGTACTGACTATGCTGTTTTCTAAAAGTGCATGTCTTCTGTCAAATTTTCAGAAATTACTACATTGTAATTAGATTCTCGTGGTTTATGATTCCACAAATATTATATACTGTGTATAGGTGAAGGTTAAACATCCAGGTAATAAGATACGCCAAAAAATAGTTACTCAAGCAACTGGATATGATTTTGGAAATGGTCAGATATTTCAGTTAGCATCCACTACCTTTCGTCATTGACACTAGAGACTTGCAGGAGAAAAGCAGGTTTATAAGCACGAACTATTGATTGATATTATGTACTGTGGAATCATTTCCTTATTGGACACGGCTCGTATTTCCCTCCGTGCTCAAGAGCTGAATTTCAATCGTGATTTTTAACAACCCAACGTGGACGTGGAAGGATGTGAGTAGTTATGCATACGACCTCTGCTGGTGAAGATGAGATATAAACTCTGTCATCTAAGTCTTCCGCTGACGCAGGTTGGGTCAAGTATGGGTAGTATTTATCGCGGCTGGATCTCGCTGAGGAAGGATGATGTTTAGTCTTTTGATCTTCCTGTATAGTGACGACAGAAGGCTTTCATCTTACTGAATATGGAGAGATTAGAAGAAGATATCTTTCTGGGGAAGGAGATATCTTTCCGTGGAAGGGTTATGTTTGTGTGTTTGTAGCTGTAGCTCACATTGGGTTTGACGAATATCTGAAATAGATAATTTCTGTAACAATTCATTTTCGTAGTATGAACAGGTTCTAAGCTTTGAGTTTATGCTATCGCATATGTTAACACATCAATTTTCTTTCCATCAAAGAATACAGATCGGGCAAAATTTTTGTCTGTCATGAATGACAGACTCTATTAAAACTAGAATTCCGAGATTTTATACCTCCATGAAATATGATCTTGATATGTAAATGTAAATTTCGTCTTTAATTGTTCAAATGACCTCTGCATTAACATGATATATGCATCGTGATGTATGTTAACTTTTGATTAATTTACAGATGTCCCAAGTATGACATTCTCATCATTCACCATTACAAAATCATAGAATTTTCACATCAATTATGCAAATTAGGTCATCATTTGCATAATTAGTATCTGTTGAAGTTCCGCCTGCCATAGGTTACATAGTATAATGTAAAACACTGTAATTATAGAATTTCCTCATTAATTATGCAAATAAAGTCCTCATTTGCATAATTTACATTTAATTATGTACATCTCTCTCTCAGCTACCTACACACCAAAAATAATGAAAATATGTTGTTCCTGTCTGGACTTATTGGCTTTTAAACATTTCACCAGAAAGTGCCCTGCAGTTCCAGAACAAGCCGCTAGGGGGCCCAAACTCATATGACTTCTTCCCAAGCACGAGAGCTACCTTCCATCAAAATTTCATGACCCTAGCATGTCCAGATCGTGAGATATCAAAACCGGAAGTTGCGCTGCAGTACCAAGGGAAGCCACTAGGGGGACCAAAATCTCATCATTTCCAGTTTTCGTCACACCCTACCAACACACCAAGTATGAAACCCATCCATCCAGGCGTTCTTGAGTTATCTTGTTGACCAACAGACAGACGGACGGACGGACGGACGGACGGACAGATAAACGCAACTGAAAATATAACCTCCATGACACATTTCATGGAGGTAATAATTCAAACGATGGAAAGACGACGCTTTCTATCTAGATGAAATGTGAAGGAAAGTTTTTGTGAACTCCAGTTAAATCTGCTTTGTTGTTACCAGTCAGCCTTCAAGCTACCTCTTCTGAAGTCTGATAAATGATTTATGTACAGTGGTATTGTACTTGAATTTTTACTGAGTATAATCCTGGTCAAGAATGGTAACACCACTTGACTTGTAGGCTGGGACCTACATATAAATTACTGTATATTATGAGTATTTTATACAATCATGTATATATATTCCAGTTCGTTTAGTAAGTCTACCCTAAAAGCATGGCAAAATTAGAGGCTCAAACACACCACAAAGACCCTTGTTTACTGTCAACACATGCAGCAAACTGCAAACTAAGCAGACTCTTTGGCCGTCAACAGAGGATCCGAGACTTGGATCTCTCCTGTATGTGATGAAATGTTGTGAAAGCAAGGTGATCTGTGATTGGTTCGATCAGTGATGGAGTCGCTTTCGACCCCCAAGAGGGATTCTTTCTCCCCTCTTGGGGTCATAGGTCAGATGAAGATGTCGGGCTATGATATGGCAGGTGCATTTGACCCCCTCTTGTGCAATAACTTGTATCCAAGGTGGTAGAGATAGGTGTAGACCTGTGTGTAATGGTACTAACTTGGTAAGTACATGTGCATCCAATTGTGCAATTTCAGGGCAGCAAAGCTGGATTTAGAAAGTCAATTTTCTGGTCATTCTCTTATTGCAGTGAGGAAATTGAATGAAATTCTTATATAGCATACTGATATACGTAAGGCAATAATACGATGTTGCTCATGGAAAATAAGGATACCTTTAACGGTTTGAACATTTTGGCAATTTTGTATACTTTGGGAAACAGCCACAAACTGTCTTCATGTGTGCGTGTAAGATGTTTCGTGTAAGCACATGAATATTTGGTAGATAGAACACATTTTTTCGTTCCAAGAAATGTTTCCCTGGTTTGCTGCCCTTGATATAATTAATTGCTTTTAATAGTGGTGATTCCTACAAATTCTGCCTATGCAAGACCATAAATACGCCCCACTGCCAAAGTGGAGGCTGCTAACCACACGTAAGTGGTCATAATATTACCCCGAGGCTAGGCCGTATTTTTCTGCGAGTCTTCCCATGTTTGATAACAGATGGTTTTTTTAGCACAACAGAACAGGAAGTGGTACACAGAGCCGTGACGCAGGTCCCTTTGAGGAATCAACCGAAATGCCCCCCTTTGTACGACGAGGTAAAAAGCAGCTTATCTCGACATTTGCGCACGATTAATGGGTTTTTGCCCTGTAAAACCTTTATGGCACCCTCTCGCTTTTTAAGTGAGCCCCGTAAATCCATGCCAACCTTGGGCGATGCCACCTTTTCGTGGGCTAGTTCGTAATTTTGACACTTTGTATTGCTTGCCAAATTGCACACAAAAGATTATATTCTTATCATCCAGATTTCGATTGGCTATTGTGTTGATATGCAGATAAGATATGTTTCACACAAATATGTTTTGAAGGTAGCCTGTATGCTGCTACAAAAGTTAGATCTCCCTGTAAAGTTGTCATGATGGTAGAGTCCATCTCTTTTGAGGGAGAAGAAGTAACACTCGCATACCCTAACCCCCCAACACCGCTCACCATAACAACACAAATCTGAAGTAAGATGGCTGACCTCAAGGGTTGGGAGTCTAAAGTTTGCCAAAAGACCTTGATTCCTGGGATTAAGTAGGTTTTGTTTCCATCTTGTTTCGTCAACTACTTTCTGACAACATGGTCTTGCGGAGGGAGAGTTGGGGGGTCTGAATCTCATACTAGTATCTAAACGTTTGTGAAAACTTTGTAAATGGTCAGTTCTGCATGTAATCTACAACATAATATATTTCCTGAACTTTCGGTTATGCCACTAACATGATTTAGATTCTATCCTCCATCAAGACCGCAGTCCTTCAAATGTACCATATTTGCTCCTACCTCTTATTATACTTAAGTATCATTTCACAGAATTCAAGGCTAAAAATACTGTGTGCATAAAAGCAGAAAAATTATTTCAAGCCCTATACAACGTACATGTACTTGTACCATGCTCTTTAGTACTGCTGGATTTACAAGCGTACATTTTTACTAGCAATCAAGTCTTCTGAAAGTGCATCCATGTAGAATATTCTTGGTACAGTGGTTCGCTCTTCGAGAGGCCATTTGTATCTTCTTAGGTACTCCCAAAGCCCCTTGTATTGTAAAAAAAAAGCAACCACCCTATGTGTAATGTGGTGTGTGTGTGTGCCCACTTTAAAAGCAGTGCTACAGGCCTAGGGCACTCAAATGCAGTCAAATGTGATCCTGCACTGCCATTAACCGACCAGTCTCGATGCTCACAAGGAGAGTAAAGCCCTGCATCAGTGCGATGGATGACTGTGAGAAGGTACATGTTCGGGCTGCCATACTTCTGAATGGAGCTTGCGGACGATTTCACAGGTAAGTCTGGGATGTTGAAAAAGGCAAAATGACATGGATGATTGGGGGATTCACATCGTAAGACTTTGAAACATGGTGGAAAATACTGTAAATTGCTTTATATTCTCACTAGCAAAATTCCTCGGTCTAATAAAATGGAAATGTTTGTGGAACCATATCGTGGAAGAAAGAAAGTTGGCAAATTATTTGTTCGTGGTGATGATAAATTTGCCATATAGAAGTGACTGCAAAAACCGCAAATATATGTAAGTACTGCGAATATAAAGTGATCTACTGTATTCTTGCATTTTCCCAACTGGATCGTCTACAGGTACAATCATTCAGGGAGCTCAAAGTGATGGATGCTTTCTAACACCAAAATGAAGTTGATGGATAACTTCATTGCTCCAAGTTATATATTTTTTTTACTCGTAGAAACGTTTTCCAGTTTCCCTACACAGATATCCTCCCACCCAGTGTCAGTAGGTTGTGTTCGGCATAACTTTATTTTACAATCTTCTATTCTAACAATTTGATACGCCAAAAACAGTTACTCAAGCAACTGGATATGATTTTGGAAACGGTCAGACGTTTCAAAGAGCATCCACTACCTTTTGTCAGTGACACTGAAAGGTGCAGGAGAAATGCAGGTAAACTGCAGTCTCTTAGTGTCACTGACGAAAGGTAGTGGATATTACCTGAAACGTTCGTTTCCAAAACCTTACCCAGTTGCTCGAGTAACAGTTTTTTGGCATATCTTATTACCTGGATGTCTAACCTTCACCGACGTTATAACAATTTGGTTTATAGGACATGGGCTATAAAGACACGGGTGAACATTATTTGCACTCAAGTCACAAGCTCATCAGTACTGAACTACCCAGCAACCTTGTAACATAAATAGATCATGACAGAATCAATCGATACATACAGTCTGTAGTCTTCTCCAAGTCTTCTTATCAAATCATAATTAGATTTTCTTCTCCCCTTTTTTCTCAGAAGAAAATGAAGCCGGGATTAACGACTGTTCTGTCGTAAACAATTGTGACATGTTGTCGATATACACTTGTGATAAAGTCAATAATAGTAAATATTAGGCATGCCCTGACAAAAGGATGTACAAAGTGTAGCTGCATGTCTATCGAGCAGTATTCAAGTAGTCAAGATATGTCATATGATGTGCCCACAAAGTGAAGTTTCTTAAGAAGTTGGGGCTATAATAGGATGCCTGGACCTGTTTCTTAGAAGCTTGTTAATTCTAGATCAACTCAGCAGGATTCGTTGACATTTCTAACATGATATTTTGAGAGAAAACATTCTCCTTAAGTTACCAATCCTTAGTAAGAGTATATAGTGTTGACATTTTTCTGTCAAACAGTCAAAAGGCATAAGAACTGTTTGCTTAGCAGGAAACAACGGAAACTATAGGATCTTGTGATGGCACTCATGAGTTATGCTTATGTTACAAATGGAGGTATTTCTTGAGAGATTTACTTCTAAGGATAAGATAAAGGTTAAAGTGATGTTCTGACATTTTGGGACTAAGTATGAGAGGGTTTGAAGTAAAAGTCAAGACCAGGTTAACGTCTGGTTTTGTCAGCCAGAGGATGAATACTTCTTAAAGGTGTTGTCACAATGTCTCATACAGGATTTGTTTGGTCTTAAAGAAAGCTGTTCATTCTTACATGTAATACTTAACTTAAGCTTTGCCTCTGGTGCTGGACCGAGTCTTATAATGCCAGTGTCACGATGTTCACTGTTCAGCTGAATTTCATGACTGCCAGAATGTTGTCAAATTTCAAAATCGACAGAGAGTTGAGCATATTTTTGGCCTCAAAATATAACCTGTTTAAAAGGCTGTGACCTTGATGTTGTAGAATCGTTCAATAATTGCTGTAGTGCTGCCGAAAATATTCTTAGAGTTAGCAGCTTGTCGGGCGAGCTATTTTCAAGTTGTGTGGCGCCTGCATAAGCACTGTCTTAGTCTGATCTCTTATCTTAACCCATTCTGCAGCATGAAGTCTCGACATTGAGGCAGAATTTCAATAAAACGATAGTAGGCTTTGTCTTCCTTAGCGGAAGAAAATTCTTCCTTTCTTTCAGAGCATTAACCAAGAATTCAATTTCAAGCTGCAGAGAATTTCTGTTAACAACGTGTGGATGAAAATAGCTTTGTCCCAACAAGGTTATCAGATCCAGAATGAAACATGGCTGCTTTATTTATGAATCGAACTGCAGCAATAGAAGGTTATGACAGATGAAGCCTCTCCACTCGGTGATAAAACATGCTTCTAACAGGGCAAGATGTATTCTGGTTTTATCAGTGTCTGTAAATATTGCCTGTTGAAGGTGGTTCTGCATTGTATATTGGCGATAACTAGAGGATTGAGTCACCATTAGTCATGAGTTGGTATACATGTATGGGAAATGATTCTATATGATTAAATGAATAGATGATTGTATGTATGTGTGCATGTACTGGAGTATGTATGTATGTATGTATGTATGTATGTATGTATGTATGTATGTATGTATGTATGTATGTATGTATGTATGTATGTATGTATGTATGTATGTATGTATGTATGTATGTATGTATGTATGTATGTATGTATGTATGTATGTATGTATGTATGTATGTATGTATGTATGTATGTATGTATGTATGTATGTATGTATGTATGTATGTATGTATGTAAGGATGGATGGATGTGGATGGACGGACGGATGGATCGATGTGGATGGACGGACGGATGGATGGACAGATGGATAGATCAATGAAGTTAAACTTATATATGATACCTGTTATTTTGGATGTCAAATTACAAATGTGTTTATTCTAATCTGCTACATTGTCTATTGTATTTTAATCACAGACAGTACAGATATTTTGTTTGGTACATGTACATTGTAAATTATACAGAATGGAACATTGGCTCATCATTGCTTTTTTTTCATGACTATTTTCCAGCTTTGGCAAACGTGCAGGAGGAAGCTGCAAGCGAGCCAGCGAGTGTCTAGTTTTGGAGCCCTCAGAAATGATAGTGGTGAGTTCCTCTACCCACCTGATTTCTTCTGAATGTAGTAGACTGATTCTGATTGGTCATAAAAATTAGCAGTCTAACCAATGGGAGAGTGGCTGAGTGGCAGACTGTTATCACGATATCTGCGCCCATCGCCACCGTAAACATATAATTCTGTGAACACCTACATTTTTCTCAGACCGTGAACTTTTGCTACCGCAAACATAACGTGATTTACAATATACATATATGCAGAGAGAGAAAGAGAGAGAGAGAAAGAGAGCGATAATAGTATATACATACGTGCCTTTACGTGTGTTACTCCTGGTATATGTTTGTATGCTACTCTCAAGATTAATGGTGTTGAATGGCTAGGCAATGGGACACGAGATCAAAACGTTGTGTCCTTGGGAAAGGCACTTCACACAACTTAACCTCACTCCACCCAGGTGTAAAATGGGTACCTTCATCTTCATCTTTGCCGGGGCTCTGAGATGTTATACAAGCCCCGGCTACACCCCCATATAGCCCCTGATGGGGCACTTAAGGGGGACCTGACTTAGTAGGGGAGTGGTGGAAGTAGAGGGATGGGCTCTGCCTTCTAATACTAGTAGTACCATGACACAGTGGATCAACAACCCACTGCCCCTACCATCTCAAAAGGCACATTTTGTTAGGATCCCCCTTGAGATTTGTGAGATCAGCTATCTTTCATGGCCACTTTTGCCTTTTATCTGGCTACTTGCTGCTCTCCACTAGTCTTTACCATGATCCCCTTACTTGGAAGGAAACCGTCTGTCATCGGATTGTTGAATCACAAGGAATGTCAGCCTAAGAAGCTCATTTATCAATTTTTGCCTGTTCTGTGGAACACTTACATACATGTATGTCATGATCCCAGCCATGTGCACTGTCTTTTACTTGGAGCTGTTTCAACCCCAAAGTTTTAACCTTCTACAGTAAAATGAGGTTAACAACTGTACATACCAGTAGATATCATACAAGGGACAGTCCCTAGTAATGTGTCACAAATATGCAAATCATGTCACAAGCATGCAAATGATATGCAGTAGGCATGCACCTGGGAATTTGGTACACGCTTGTTTCTTAAATCACAGGCAGGCAATTTCACTTCACTACAGCATCCTGGATTCATCCCTTTTTCAGATAATGTCTACTAGCATTTTATGACAGCACTGTAAGTCTGTATATATGTCTTTTCAAGATGATTACTTAATTAGTGATATTTTCCATCTTGGTAATGGTAAGTGCAAGGTTTTCACTCTGTTGAAAGTTGTCTGGCAAATGTGTCTCTAATGTATCCATAACAAATCAGCAAGTCTGCAGATCCTAGTCTCCAAGCAGATCCTAGGGTGGCAAAAAGAGTATCAAATTGGCCAGGCAAAGGGTCCAATACTCCACACCACACAAGGTGGGGGTAGTGACAAAAACAAAAAAAACAAAACAGGCCATATATAAAACCTAACGATCTTCCCCCATCAACCTCTGCTTGGAGAGTATGCAGATCCCACTTTGCTTGTAGTGATGCCATTTCGCTTTACCACCACCTTGACTGTGATTGCTTGTTACGCAGAGTCCTTTTTGTAGCCATGAACATAACCATTTAGCACAGAGGTGTAAAGGGGTGATCCAATCTCCCCAATCCTGTTTGCTATGTATGTAGGCACGACCTAATTGGGCAGTGACACCTCGGTATGACTCCAGTGTTTTCCTTAGTGTCCGTGGAATAAGGAGAATTTTGTAGGAGACATGCATGTTTTTGAATGTAAGGAGAACAGTATCCTGTATAGGTATGTTGGCCATAATTTTTCAAAAATTTTAAAGCGTGGGTTACACTATTTGATGGTAACTTCATGATACCTTGTTTCTTATATGCACTTAAGTTATAAACAATTTCATTGGCTTTTGCTGTATCCTCTCTAGGTATGTTGGCCATGATTTTTCAAAATTTTAAAGCGTGGGTTACACTATTTGATGGTAAATTCATGATACAATGTATTTATTACATGCACAAACAATTTAACTGGCTTTTGCTGCACAGCTCAGTTTATTCTTGGAAAGCTTTTCCCTTTCTCCCTTGTGACATCCAAGATGTATGCGTTGGATTACCATGCACAATTCAGGGATTTTATCTTTTCGTGGAGAGACATTCGCCTGTTGTAGAATCTACCATTGGGAGTTTATGAAGATAGCTTGAGAAATATAGAAGATGAACACCATTATGGACTGAGATTATGTTATAGTGAAGGAAATGTATTTTTAGTTGTGACTATTCATGCGAAGTTCCAGTGAGTTCAGCACATTATATTTAGGAATCTACAGTTTACATTGTATAACGTCCTTACTAACGTTGAGCATATGAAGGATGGCTGAATAATTACATTCCAGGGCGAACCATGGTAAGTTAGAAGTAGAAGTGATGATTTATACATGTATTATGTGATGGTGATGTAGATTTCATTACTAGTATGTATGTTTGTATATTTTTGTTTGTAAACTGGAGTGGTTGTGGTAACTTAACGACCAGTACTCTTAGCCAATCGGGCCGCGATTTGGGCGATGATATTTCTTCATTTATCCCGATAAAATCATCCATCAAGGAATTTGAATATTATTAATTTGCATCGCATCCAACTTTCATGAAAGAGGCCAACCCATTATACATGTATTAGTCGCAGTGTAGATGTCACTAGTGTTTATGTATGTTTTTGTTTGTAAACTGGAATGGTTGTGGTAAATTAACGACCAGTACAAATGTAGCCATGATCTTTTTTCAGTCATCTTGATGAAATCATCTATCAAGGAGTTTGAATATTAGGTAGCCAGCCTTTAGTTTGTCAAGTGGTGATTTCTATCTCAGTATCCGATCACCTTGGATTGACAGGAGCACTGTATGAATGAACGTAGGAGGAATACATTATACCAGCCCGAGATATGCATGTAGAGTGAGGCATACTGATTATATATGTGCAGGTTATTCCTGTACCTTTTGTGTGGGTGGTTCGCTCACTCCTGTACATTAAACGATCCCTAAACAGATAAATACCCAGCTAGCAGTAACCATGTAGATTGTATGGGCAGTCCTTTGAAGCAGTAATGGTAGGGCTTGAAATTCATTTTGGGGAATAGGTGCACTGCCTGGTGCACCCTACCTAAAAAATTTGATGCACGAAATTGATCTTGGGTGCACGATATAGAACAAAATAAGTAGAATGTCAGCAAAAACTAATTATGTTTCATTTCTAAAGAAAAGTACTAACAATAATTGTATTATTTTTTTGACTCATAGATATAGATTTAAATATGCAGTATACTTCTATGCATTTAACATCTCTACATAAATAAACCTACGAAAATATTTGGATGCAGTGGTGCACCCACAGAAAAAATTGGGTGCACAGATCCAAATTTAGGTGCACATGCACCCAGTATTTCGAGCCCTGAAATGTATAATATACAGGATATTCTTGGCATCTAATCATGTCAGAGAAATAATAGAATCTTTGTTGTAGTACTTGTTTAAAGGATTTTGAAGTTAGCTCCCATTTCAGATTCAAACTCAGAAGAGGAGCAATAAGATCTGTAATTTAAGCTTTTGGTTTATTTGGTGCAGCCCAAAAATTTTTTGTGCACCTAATTTTTTAGGTTGGGTGCAACAGTGCACCTACATGAATTCCCCAAAATGAATTTGGATCCCTGGGTAATGGTATCATCTGGAGAGGACGTCACACCCAGGCCTACGTGGGTACGGTGGTAAATAGGCAGATTAGAACTCGCCGGCTACTGCATGCGCTCGGTCTGAGGCAGGCCGGACGATTTATTCGCCGGAGAATCGTTTCTTGATGGCAATCAGCTGAGTCACCTGCCTCTGCTCTTGGGGAGTAAGTACGGCCGTCAATTCTGTATGCAAAACTGTGGTACCGGTACTCATGCAAGATACATGTATTTCTCCTCCATCCATGGCTTTTTTTGTACCATATAGATGTACATGTAGTATAATATAGTAAAGATATGGAATGGAATATTATTTGGTACTAGTAATAGGAGTAAGTACGGTCGTAAATTCTGTATGCAAAACTGTAGTACTCGGTACTCATGCAAGATACCTGTATTTCTCCTCCATCCATGGCTTTTTTTTGTATCATATACATCAATGGAATATCATTTAGTAGTACTAGTAATAGGAGTAAGTATGGTCGCCAATTTTGTATGCAAAACTATGGTACTGATCTTTCATGCAAGATATTTCTCCATCCATGGCTTTTATTTTTACCATATAGTAAAGATATGGAATGGAACTTGCTATTTAGTATTAGGTAACAGGTACTGTTACAAGATGAAAGGCTTCAAGGAGAAACTGTGCACCAAACAACCAGCAACATCGGTTATGCAGACGACATCGGACTGTCCAGAACGTTCACATGTGACACTGTTGAAAGCGACACAACTATGCAAGAGGAAGCTACGCAACTTGACACCTGGGCGAACAAGAACAATATGATTATGAACGGGGATAAGTCCTATGAGTTGAGACTGTGCTTTTCAAAACATCCACCTGTTCCACCTCCCCTCACACTTGGAGGCAAAGAAGTCCCGGTTGTTGAATGTGCCACGTATCTGGGCTTCAAACTTCACCGCAGCCTTGGGTGGGACAGCCAAATCTTACACATGGCAAAGAAAGGCTCAACTCGTCTTCACTTTCTCCGCATGCTCAAGAAGGGCGGGATGCCACCAGAGGACCTGGAAACTGTGTATACGACTCTGATACGACCTGTGTTAGAGTATGCAAATGTCGTGTACGTGGGCTGTAACACAAAACAGAACAACACTCTTGAGGCTGTACAGAGAAGGGCGGCGAGAATCATTTACGGCAACAGCACTCAAACAACCCCCTTCTCCACCCTCCAGGACAGACGGGAAACTGCAGCAAAAACTCTGCTCAAGCAAATGCGGCATGTCAGCCACCCTTTGCATTCTTTGATGCCCTGCGACAGACACCAGAG